CTGACCTTCTTCCCTCTCGTGCTCTCTCTCTCTCATTCTCTCTCTCTCAAATAAATAAATAAAATCTTTAAAAAAGATTTTATGTATGTATGTATTTATTTGAGAGAAAAACAGAGAGACAGAGCATGAATGGGGGAAGGAGTAGAAGGAGAGGGAGAGATAAGCAGACTCCCCACTGAGCGAGAAGCCCAACACAAGTCCCAATCCCAGGACCCCGAGATCACGACCTGAGCTAGAGTCAGACATTTAACTCACTGAGCCACCCAGACGCCCCAGAGAGCTCAATATAGTTAAGATGTCATTCTTGCCATTTTGATCTATAAATTCAAAGCAATCCCAATCAAAATCCCATCAGGTTATTCTGTGGTTATTGACAAACTGGTTCTAAGGTTTATATGGAGAGGAAAAAGACCTAGAATAGCCAATACAATATTGAAGGAGAAGAACAAAACTGGAAAGCTGATACTACTCGACTTCAAGACATACTATAAAGCTACAGTAATCAAGACAGTGTGGTATTGGCAAAAGAATAGACAAACAGATCAATGAAACATAATAGAGAGCCCAGAAATAGAGCCACATAAATATAGTCAACTGTCTGACAAAGGAGCAAAAGCAATACATTGGAGGAAAGATAGTCTTTTCAACAAATGGTGCTGGACATCCACATGCAAAAAAAAAAAAATTTAATCTAATTAGACCTGATATCTGTCACCAAAAAATTAACTCAAAGTGGATCATAGCTCTAAATGTAAATCACAAAAGTATAAAACTCCAGAAGATAACATAAGAGAAAACCTAGATGACCTTGGAAGTGGTGATCATTTTTTAGATACAACACCAAAGGCATGAAAGACATAATTGATAAACTGCATTTTATTAAAAAAAAAAAAGTTCTGCTCTACAAAAGACAATGTCAACAGAATGAGAAGACAAGCCACAGACTGGGAGAAAATACTTGCAAAATATATATCTGATAACAGACTATTATTGAAAATACACAAAGAAGTCTTAAAAGTCAACAATAAGAAAATGCACAACCTGATCGAAAAATGGGCAAAAGGTTAAAAAAAAAAAGAAAAAAAAAGAAAAATGGGCAAAAGGTCTGAACAGACATCTCACCAAAAGAGATCTGCAGAGAGCAACTAAGCATATGAAGATATTTGACATCATATGCCATTAAGGAATTGCAAATTAAAACAATGAGCTATCACTACACATCTATTAGAAGGCCTAAAATCCAAAAATATTGACAACACCATTTGGCAATATTATTAATGTCCAATATATTTATATTCTATGATACAGGAATTCCACTCCTAGAAATATACCCAGGAGGAATGAATGCATATATCCACCAAAAGATATGCACAAGAATGTTTGAAGCAGGGGCACCTGGGTGGCTCAGTTGGTTAAGCAACTGCCTTCGGCTCAGGTCATGATCCCAGGGTCCTGGGATCGAGCCCCGCATCGGGCTCCCTGCTCGGCAGGGAGCCTGCTTCTCCCTCTCCCACTCCCCCCGCTTGTGTTCCCTCTCTCTCTGTCTCTCTCTCTCTGTGTCAATTAAAAATAAATAAAATCTTTAAAAAAAAAAAAGAATGTTTGAAGCAGCTTTATTCTTAATAATAAAAAACTGGATACATCCCAAATGACCATGGAAACTAGAAAGGATAAAGTGTGACGTATTCATACAAAGGAATACTACATAGCGATGAAAATTAAGGGACCGCAGCTACATGCAATATCACAAATTAATCTCTGACATAACATTGAATGAAAGAGGCTAGGTGTAAAGGAATTACATACGTATGATTCCACATATATGAACTCCAGAAACAGGCTAAATTTCTCTCTCTATGGCAATGGAGCTCAGAATACTGGTGACATTTGGAGGGGAATACTGACTTTGAATAAGTTTGCTAGATGCTAGAAACATTCCATACCTTGATCTGGGTGGCCATTATAGTATACATATATAATGATATGCTATGTATACATGTACAAAAATCAAACAGTAAACTTATAATGTGGGCACTTTATTATCTGTAAAAAAAGGAAAAATTTATTATTTTTTATTTTTTATCTATAAAAAAAGAAAAAATAGGGGCGCCTGGGTGGCTCAGTTAGTTAAGCATCTGCCTTTGGCTCAAATCATGATCCCAGGGTCCTGAGGTCCTGGGATCAAGCCCCGCATCAGGCTCCCTGCTCAGTGGGGAGTCTGCTTCTCCCTCCCCCTCTGCCCCTCCCCCCTGCTAGTGCACAACTGCTGTCTCTGCCTCTCTCAAATAAATAAAATCTTTAAGAGAAAAATAAAAAAGAAATAAGGGACAGCAGCTCAGAAAAAAAGGAAGAAGTCTATGTCATCATCTTGAATAAACATTAAAAAACAACATTTCCAATACACGTTAAAATACACAACTGAAAATAATGTTCATCTGTATACCCTCAAATAAATAAATAAATAAATAAATAAATAAATAAAACTGCTCTGCGTTCACTAGGAATTCAAGCACCACACTTTGGTTAATGCATTCCAGGCACACTTCGGGGTTTGATGTGAGCTGGTGCTAGGATACTGGCAACCCAGGGAAGGGCTGAGTGTGTAGCTAGGATTATGCCTTGTCACCAGCCTGCGCTGGGCTTGTGGAATGCTGAGACTCTGCTTCAAGGTAAACGGCAGAAAACTGGAAGGGAGGGAGGGTAAATTGGGAGAGGGGGCAAAGAAAAAGGACCAAGGGCAGATTCCCTCACGCTCTGGCCCATAGCCCAAGTCCTAGACTCCCCACCTCACCAGAGACGCAATAGATGTAAAACAAGGCAGTTGGTTTCCAAGTGGGAAGAGCGCCAGCCATGACTTTTGCTGCCCAAGGAATGAAAAATCAATAATAATAATTTTTATGATTCATGTTCATCCTGTTTTATTCCAGAGCACTTTACCGAAAGGCCCCTTGGCCCAGCCAAGAAGCTCAGGGCCAGGATCCAGGACACCTGGACTCCAGATCTCTGTGTAGAAGACTTGGAACTTTCTTGGGATCTAAGTTTCTCAATTGTGGCAAGTGACATTGTGGAGCATTCTACAGTTTATATACATCCTCTCAGTTGACCCTCCAACCCCTGGGAGGAAAGCAGAGAACACAGGATTGCTATTCTCATTCTATAGACAAGGAAACAGGATCAGATGAAGGTAAGAGACTTGATCAAACACACACTGTTTAAAAAGGTGGGGAAGCTGGGCGCCTGGGTGGCTCAGTTGGTTAAGCGACTGCCTTCCGCTCAGGTCATGATCATGATCCTGGAGTCCCAGGATCGAGTCCCACATCGGGCTCCCTGCTCAGCGGGGAGTCTGCTTCTCCCTCTGACCCTCTTCCCT